ATCCCAGAAGAGTGTCCCACAAGAGTGTCCTACAAGAGTGTCCCACAAGAGTTTCCTACAAGAGTGTCCTACGAGAGTGTCCCACAAGAGTTTCCTACAAGAGTGTCCTATAAGAGTGTCCCACAAGAGTGTCCCACAAGAGTGTCTCACAAGAGTGTCCCACAAGAGTGTCCCACAAGAGTGTCTCACAAGAGTGTCCCACAAGAGTGTCCTACAATAGTGTCTCACAAGAGTGTCCTACAAGAGTGTCCCACAATAGTGTCCCACAAGAGTGTCCTACAAGAGTGCCCTACAAGAATGTCCCACAAGAGTGTCTTCTAAGAGTGTCCTACAAGAGTGTCCCACAATAGTGTCTCACAAGAGTGTCCCACAAGAGTGTCCTACAAGAGTGTCCCACAAGAGTGTCCCGCAAGAGTGTCCCAAATGAGTGTCCCACAGGAGTGTCCCACAAGAGTGTCCCGCAACAGTGTCCCGCAAGAGTGTCTCACAAGAGTGTCCCTTAAGAGTGTCCCACAAGAGTGTCCCACAAGAGTGTCCCGCAAGAGTGTCCCAAATGAGTGTCCCACAGGAGTGTCCCACAAGAGTGTCGCGCAACAGTGTCCCGCAAGAGTGTCTCACAAGAGCGTCCCTTAAGAGTGTCCTGCAAGAGTGTCACGCAACAGTGTCCCACAAGAGTGTCCCACAAGAGTTTCCTACAAGAGTGTTTTAGAAGAGTGTCCCACAAGAGTGTCCCACAAGAGTGTCCCACAAGAGTGTCCCACAAGAGTGTCCCGCAACAGTGTCCCTTAAGAGTGTCCCACAAGAGTGTCCCGCAACAGTGTCCCACAAGAGTGTCCTACAAGAGCGTCCCACAAGAGCTTCCTACAAGAGTGTCCCACAAGAGTTTCCTACTAGAGTGTCCCACAAGAGTGTCCCGTAAGAGTGTCCCACAAGAGTTTCCTACAAGAGTGTCCCACAAGAGTGTCCTACAAGAGTGTCATTTGGACATATGTAGCTTTTCGAACGTGTTTGCATTCGGGTTCGTGGGCTCCATCTTGTTTTTTTTTTTTTTTTTTCGAAAGAACGGATCAAAGGGCCATCGAAGCAGAAGGATATCGACCTATGACCAACGACAGCCACGACCATCGATCGGACCCCGGACGGTGCCCTCTACTCATCCCTAGGGATCCAAGTACCTTCTCAGAAGGTGTTTGGGGTGGGTTTGGAGGGTCCAAGTGCCTTCTGAGAAGGTACTTGGATCCCTAGGGCATGTTCCAAGGTCATTACCAACTCACGGGTCAGGCCCGGTCAGGCCCTAAGGATCCACTGGCACCGAACCTCAGGTTCGGTACGACTGGTCGTCTCCTGGCGCCAGTCTCCCAATCACGTAACCTGAGGTTCGGTACGACTGGATCCCTTTTTTGGGAGGTATATTGATCCACCAAGATTCACGGCAACTCCAGTCGAAACCGGTCTCGCTTCCTGCAGCTCTCGCTTGCCTGGGGGTTGGACCCTCCAACACTCCCTCGCTTGGGCCATCACAAGTGAGGAAGTGTGGCCAACGAGCTGCGCCAGGGCTGATGAGCCTATAGCGTCGATGTTTTGGCCGAGGCCGTCGTCTGAGGCATCACTCGGATCCAAAAGAGGTATATGGACTGGCCACAGGGGATTCTTCAACCTCAAAAGGTCTAGTTCATTGATGGATGACTGCATCAGCTCCCTTCACGAACCCTTTTGCTTGACCTCAATCTGAGACTTCAAAAGGTCACCAGCGAGAAACTTGTACTTCTCTATACTATAAGATATTCACAAATACTTTTTCTATAATCTGTTGACTTGCAAGGCAATTCAACGCCCCACATCCAAACACAGTTCGCTTCCAGGACTTGACTTTAGAGTCCTCAGGTGCTTCGTCTGAGTCTTCGTCTGAGTCTTGAGACGCGCCCTCACCCAGGCTGGCGCCTGGTGCAAGCACTGCAGCAATAAGATCAGGTTCAAGGTGGACCGGAGTTGAGCCTTCGCACGGCCCCAGCGGACTCGCAGCTGATCCGCAGCCAGGGTCACCAGGGTCCCCCTGAGTCGAAGAGTAGACCCTACGGATCCACTGGCACCTCCTTCTCAGAAGGTAAGACTGGACCCTATGGAAGCCTTAGGGAGAGTACCTTCTGAGAAGTGATGTGGATCCATAGGGAGAGTACCTACATTGATCCTTAAACATCTTAAAGTCATCCCAATGTAGGACCATATTGGACCATATTCCATATTTATATCTATAGTACCTGTAAGGGTTTGAACATCTCACCCAGCAAGCCGGTCAGATTCCTCCACAACTCTTGAAGGCGCTTTTCCTGTCTGAGTGTCTGTGACAGCTTATTAGCTTTTGCTTCCCTTTTCGGACCTGGAGCTGGATCACGGTGCACTCCCTCGACCCGCTCGACCCGGACCTCCTCCGCAGCGATGTCCACCATGGCCATGATGAGAGGAATGGATCGATCCAACACCGTCCTCAGCTGTTCCGTTCTTGTCGGGAGTGGCGCGTGGATGGCCGCGAGTGGCGAGGAACGGCGTGGAGTGGCGAGTATTGGGCGCGGACGGCGAAGACGGAGAAGATGGCAGTGAATGTGGCGTTGGAATCAAAGCGAGGCAGACTGGAACATGCCAACCCCTGAAGCCTGAAGCAACTCCTTCCAAGGGTCAACAGAGGTTTGCCTGTACACATGCGGTCTCGATGAAGTGGTTTCCTCCAGTCTGGCTGGCCGGTTTTTGGGTGCAGCCGTCCTTTCTCTGCTTACACTGCCCGTCATCTCTTCATCTGCTTCGACTCCAACGAAAACCTTCTGCTTCATCTGCCAGCCAGATCCCTTCTTCGTCCGAGGCACTTCAAATCAGTCTTGTAGTCGTTGATGGGAAGAGCGATGCCCCACATGTGCGCCTGGAACAGGCAAGCAACAAGAAGAGCCTGGATGGGAAGAGCAGGAAGGTTGATGCTTCTGAATACCACTGGCAATCCGAGGATGGAGCTTCTATGAGCAAAAAACGTGATGGTCAACCAAATGTCAAGTATATCAGTGGTTTCCGCTACAATCATCTATGGGTCATGGCCTTGTGGGGCAGTCGCACAGTGATTGACGAGTTGGGACCCATGCGGATCAGAAGTAATTGAATTAGAGACCTGCAGCCACATGTCAAACACCCGACTCCACATCTCAACTGGCAAAAGGGATCTTCTCAAGTACCAGGCTGGAGTTCTTCTGATCACTTAAGGATTCTATAGCAGTGGGGCGAGATTATCCAGGTTTTCCCATGTCTGCGGATCTTTCCCTATCAAAGTTTGGAACAGACTCTGGCCGGTGCCAGCTTGAGAAACCATGCAACTACCCCAAAAGGATCCTCCATCCTCCGACCCTGCCAGTCCCTCCCATGGAATTTTCTCCCAAGCTCTCCGCCTGTAGCAGGAGGAAGGCCTTGGTGTGTGGACTATCATAAGCTTGGATCGCCAGGTCCACCTGACGTGCCGCGACCGGGTTTTTGGGCGCGGCGCTGGGATGAGATCGTCTTTCTTTTCGGTTTGGGGCAACGAAGTGGGCTGCACCCGACTTACAATCGTGGGACATGACCCGAACAAAAAACAGGTACGATGACTGGGTCCAAGGATTCTTGGTGTGGTCCAAGCTTTGAATCCTGCATCCCCAAAACTTTTGGAAGTTAGCTCTACACTCAGCTGGGGCGGATGTGGAGGGACCAGCTGGTTCTAGTGCTGCGACTCCATCATAAATCATAATTACAAAAGAGAGCCATCTTCGGTGCTGAACCAGCCAACCCAACTTGGGACTCCCCTTGAGTAACGAATCTCTAACGTGAACATCCAAACTATCATATAAATACCTAGACCCGACTTTAAGTACTTTGGAACATGGGACATGACCCTTATAAAAAACAAGTACTTGTACCATCTTAGCTTGTACCAATCGTGTACACACTTTCCGAGCTACTCCACCCGGGTCGCCACGCGGGTCGACTCCACGCGGGCGTCGCCTCCAACGGACAATGCTCTGCGAACTCCGCGTTGAGCTTGTCCTCGTTGTGCCGCACGGGCAACTCGTCATACTCCGGGCCTCATGCGTCGAGCGGCAGGCAGCTCAGCTGCCGGTGGAATGAGTAGTGTACATCTGCGAAAGTAGGTCAAGGAGAACATGACAGCTGGAAAAGAAGAATACTTTAAGGACAAAACGCACACACTATATATTATATATGCATGGGTTTTTATCATCCATCAAGTTTTGCGAGAACTGAACAAATGTTCAAGTGGCGTATGATCTTGTGAAACGGTCCACACACACACGAAGGGAGTGGCAGTGTGATATTTCTATATAAGGAATATATTGGATGTATGTTCATGAACCAGCAGCGGAGTGTACTAGTAAGGCACTTGTTACTAGAAGCGAAGCACTTGTTTCTACTAGCTTCATAGGTTGATCACCCAAACTGAGGAGAAGACCGATGTGTTCGCGAAGACCATCAACAGCATCAGTGTACAGTCATCAAGAGTCCACCGAGTCTACCGATTCGTTTCTCGGTGGATTCCGGATGGATTCCGGATTCGTTGAATTCCGTTGGTTCACCAACCTTCCAGTTCCACTTGAATTCCAAATGGTTCCCCTGGTTCCCGGAGGGGATACCGAAGCGGTTTTCCACCGGAAAGCGCCAACAAAGACGCGATCTTCCTCAAGGCATCCCATGATGGACGGACAACTCCCGGTTTGTCATCGGGGCGGCACTCGCAAAGCACTCGCATGATCTCCACAAAGCTCATCCCCTCCCGCGCCAAGGTCCGCTGGAACCTGGGTCGAAGAAACTCACATTCTGCGGGAGAAACACGGAAATGAACCCACAAAAGCGGGAGTCGATTCTGGATTGTACACAACAAGGATCACATACAGCTCTATACGGCTGGTCTTTTTGGTGCATCGCAGAGTACAAAGAGCGAGCAACCTTCTGAATCTGAAGTCTCAGAAATTAAGTACCTCGGAACATTGGGTACAGTGAACTGTATATAGGGTCTTGAAGGTACTTGAAGTCAGGTCCAGGAACATGTGTTGAACTGCCAAGTGTTCAAGAGCCTTCATCTTGGAACATGTCGTGCGTCTGCCTTGTCGACACCTGGATCGATCCACATACATCCCACTGACTGAAGGAGGGATCTTCGAAGCCTCTTAGCGTTGTGGCTTGAGCAATCCACCTGGATTTGGTTCTGAGAACGTATTAGTTCACATCGGCAAAGCGAGTGTGATGGTCGTACTAAAGAATTCAATCAAATTGTTTGCAGCTTGCTTTTCACTTGTCCAATTCCCAGCATCTTCAAGGACTACAATCAACACAGTTAGCTGAAGTAAAGAAGATACCAAACACACCTGAGACACTCAAAGGCCACACAGAACCCTGCACCATCACCTCTCCTCTTTTTAAACATGAAGAAAAACCATAGAAAGCCCCTTCCTGTGGCTTCACGCCAGGGCACTGTGCCACCGTGCGGTGGCTCAAGTAGTACAACGAGGCGATGCGGCCGATCTTCGTCGGCTCGACCAAGGCGCTCTGGCCTGGTATCGGTCGGTCGGTCGGATCATGTGAAATGGAAGGATTTGGACAGGGGGATCATGTGGGGGTGAGGGAGAGCGAATGGATAGATGAATTATGGTGAGTGAGGGAGAGAATGGTGAGTGAGGGAGAGCGAATGGATGGATGGATACAGCCTCAAAGGCTTCGAATGTCGATTTCGGAACTCTGGAGATCCACCGGATGGATAGGTGAAGGCCATAGATCAGCTTTCTGCTGAGTAACCCTAGAAATAGCTCCATACGCCAACTGCTCCATACGCAAGTCACTCGGTCACGAGTCACGAGCAGTATTTCTCGCACAACAGTCACGAGCGTCGCGCGGTCGTGTCTTTTTCTTCATGCAGCGAGACACAGAATGCGTAGCAATGCGTAGCAACACCAGTCACTTAGAAGCAAATCTTGTTGAGTGACCAGAATGATGCGTGATGGTATCGGAGATTCTTACCTATAGAATCCGAGTGACCCCTGTTGGGGAGCCACAACATTATTTATGTCTTTTTCCCCTCCAAATAGAGGTCATGTCTGGGTTCTAGGTATGTATCCTCCCCCACGGCACCAGGTTTTGGCGACGCCTTGTGCATGTTGGGGTCATAGCAGCACTGATGTCTGGGGTACAATTCACGTGAAGAGTACTATCCCTGCTGGGGCATCAGGTGCTTCCGTTTCGAAGGTGTTTGGTGTGTGTGTGTGTGTTGGGGGGTCTTTTCTGAGGATGCGGCCAAGAAGCTAAGTGGGTTCAAAGTCGAACACAAATGGCGCAACCCCCGACGATTTTGGATGGAGATGTGCCACAGCGTCTCGTGGCTTTAGCTCTTTGGAATCACACCAGTTCATCATATCTTAGCTTAGGATAGCTAGTATCCTACACAAAACAGTTTCGAAGGACCCGTATAAAACTATTACTCTAATCAAACACAAAAGGCTAGATCGGCAAACCTGTAATATAGGGCCATCCTCTTCCCGTGTTCCTTCCCCATTCCTTCCCCATGCGCGATGGCTGAAACACCCTCCGCATCCTCCACACGGCATCCTCCACACGCCTTGAGGAGCTTCTTTCAGCTCAATGCAACCGGAGCGGATCAACTCGTCGAGGCATTTGTTCATCAATCGCTCGATGTAGTTGGCTAACATATCCTGAACAAAAAAGCTACAGAAATGGATGCATCTATCCAAATCTATCCAGATCAGTTTGTAAATACGCCTTGACTTTGATATATGTGTCCATGTTTGTGTTCATGCTTCTATTATATTGCTGGTGGAATTTCTTGTCTCACAAAAGCAGGGAAACCAGGGTTTTCCGATCGGAGTTCCGTTTTTTGAGGACTCCGAGCAATACTTTGAGAATAATAACACTAGAAGTCGAGTCCACCAGTTCTGTGTGGTGGAAAGTTTCGAGGTCTGAAGAAAGTGAGACGAAGTAAACGAGTTCGGACAAAGCATCAACATTATAGAACTGTAAGCACCATGATGAAATACCTTCTTCCAAACACTAATGTCGCCCTCTTCTGCAAAGGGGGAGGTTTAAAAGAACTCGACACTTCATGGAACTGGCATTTTTAGCCTATAATTGGGTGGTTGTAACATGTTGATTTCAGGGATCCATTGTAGACAAGATATCTTCCTTTGCTTTTTTCAGGGAACTTGCTGGGCTTTTGAAGGCTGTAGGGGTCGACTTCAGAGACCCGCCTTCTGCTTCTCAAAGTCCGGTGTCTCCAACAAAGCGGCCTGCCTCGGCAAGCGCGGTCCGAGTTAACTCGGTGGTTAAGGCCGGTTCTGCACATCCGATGGTCCGAAGCAGATCAGCTCCAAAATGAGCGAAAACATCCTTCAACATCCTTCAACCTGAACATCCTACATGGGCCATTTGGGCCATTTGGAGGTCGCTCCAAACCACTTCCGACCCAAGCCATTTGCGATCGTCGTTATGGGTGGTTTTAGAGCTCCAACAAAGCGGATGTGTTCTTTCTGGAGGTCGGTCATGGGTCTTTGGGGATTTGGAGGTCGGTCCAAACCACTTCGGACGAAACCACGAATTGCAGACCCGACGATCCTTCCCCGGTCGGACGTACTGGATCTAATGGGTTCCTATATGAGTCATAGTCATAGTACACTGAGGTACACTGAAGTACCGGACAGGACAACCCGGGCGGCGGCTTCATGCCGAAGGCATCTGGGAAAGGACAAGAAAGACATGCAACAAGAACAAAAACAAGAACAAGAAGAAGAAGAAGAACAACAACAACAGCAACAACGACAATATTATCATCAAGTCAGGACATAGCGCCTGGAAAAGCCAGCTGCCGATGAGAGTTCCAAAATCAAAACTTGATAGGGTTCTGTAGGAACACTTTGCAGAAGCTGTGGGTACAACCGAGTCAGCTTTGACACCAATGTTGCAAACAAAGCCCAACAGCCAGGGGCAGTTGGACAAACACATCTCAAAAACTATCTAAATTCTAAATCTAAAAACATCATATCATGCAAGTTCATTCGTAGGTCAAACGAAAATCTCACACATAAGATACATGGTCAATGCAATAGACTAACCAATGTATCTTAGTTCCTCAACTCTCTCAGGCCATACCATCTGTCGTTGACTGGGCTGTCGCTGCTGGTCATAGTAGGCAGGGTTTGCTGTGAGCCGTCGGAAGAAGTAGGTCCTCCACCCACCGCGATACGGCTGTCCCGAACGGTTGAACGGCTGGAGGTGGGCGGTGTATCTGTCCGAACCCTTTTTGGGGATCCGCATACCGTGATGTGTTCGACACTGTTGTGTAGGTTTGGAGGGTCCAAATACCTTCTGAGGATGGTACTTGGAGTCCTAGGGAATAGTATACACCTCCCAGGAACAAGGAAAATGGACCAGTCTACCCCTTGGGGCGATCGGGGGTCTCCCTATGAAAAATACAGGCCCATGTGGACCCTCGAGAATTGGGACAACAAGGTCGGGTTCAGAAGGCCTGGAGAGCCACCGGAGTGGTGAATGTCTTGGGAGTCTAGACCGACTAAGTCTCAACATCTAAAAACATATCATGGCCATAAAACATATAGCATCATGGCCGTTAGCATCATCTTCACCTAGCAGTATAGTTTATAAGATGTAACATCATACCTAGTCGACTCGGGGTATGGCCTCAACAGCCAAGGGGGTGATGTATATAGGACCCTGAAATCGGGAATTCTATCATGTTGCTATGGCTGCTGGTGCTGAGCTCAACAGCTCTCGCTGGTGCGAAGAACCCTACCGTCTTCTCCCCTTCTAAGAGAAATAACTTCTAGAGTAAGTGCTGTCAGTCTTACTAAAGAGATCTAAAGGGCATGCTCCTGTCACACACATCAGCTGCACTGGGACCGAAGTGCCATAGTGCTTGAATACAGCTGCAACACTCCATCAAAGTGTCTCTTTGTGAAAAGCAAAGAAGGATCTCTCCCGACAAGTCCAAAAGGCTTAACAAGCTTGACACTCTCCCATTTCACGAACAAAAAACTCAGTAGACACACACACACACACACCAGCTGGTTCACCGACTATAGAGGCACTCCACCCTGCACCAGTCTACAACTGCTGGTGCTTCTCTTAGTCCTTTTGGATCCTTTTGGCTGCTCTTTGAGCTACACTTTCTGATAGCTTAGGTCCAAATACATTCCAACACCACCACCAGTCACTCTTGCGACCCTCTTCGCCCACGTCGTCTCCAGCGTCTCCGCGACGAAGGAACGCTTCGAGGCCCGGTCCAGGTCACATAGTCAATCGCCTCCTCCCGTGTCCTGAGGTCGCGAGACACCCAAGTGCCAAACATCACTCGAAGAGGCGAAACAGCCGAGTAGCTCGATACAGTACCTAGATGCTTCGAGGGGTCACGGTACTGTAAGTACAGGAGCAGCTAGGAGCAGCTATGAGCCCGTGGATGAGTGGAAATCCTCTATAGACTCTATAGAGGGGATTTCCAAAGCACGTGAACGTGGGACCATGGACATCCCATTCAATCTTCAACCGCGGGCGTCTCAGAAACTGCAGGTTAGGACTTCAATTCATCCACCCCCTCCCGGCCCGCCCAAGTTAAGCGGATTGCCTGATGGTCTTGGCCACAATCTCGGCATTCAGATGATCGGTGAGCTGCTCATGGAGTGATGATTCCACCGGGAAGGGCTCGTACATGAAGCCTTGAGCGCTCGCGGCCAAACCATCGGATCAGCTGAACGCCCGCGCGCCAAACGGGGTTCGCGCACCGAGTCCAGCGACTCTTCGATGTCCAGGGCACCATCTGGTTCGCGCACCAGGCAGGTTAGGATCCGGCTGTGGTTTGATACTTTGTGTTAAGAACATGTCGATTGCAAAAAGGGGCATGTAAATGCCTTAAGAATTAAGTCTTTGGAGCGAAGAGCTTCCCGACCAGAACAAGAATCACTGCCGAACCGGAGCTCCGACCTTGACCGTGTCCACGTCTCATGCGGCGCGAAGGGTTAAGCCCAGCAGCTGCGGTAGAAGTTCTTCTTTGGCCTTAGGCAGTCTGCAGCTTTGAAGCGGAGTGGATCGGAGTTGTGTCAGGTCCATCGAATGTCTATAGGGGGTACATGATGTTCCTGGAGTCTTTGCAGAACACGAGGTGATCAATTCCAGTGGGATGTGATGTGCCCCCGCTTTTCTTGGATGCTCCATGAGCTATCGGACTCACTCTGGGAATCTCTGGGACGGGCCAGTCTTCACCCCTCCATGGACCTTCCTCACCCCTCCATCCCTGCCAAGTGGCTCATGAACCATGACCACTGCCCGTGCCTCGGTATCGAACTGCGGTCGCCCGGCACGGCCCATCATCTGCAGCACGTCGGTGATGGGGAAGTCCACCTGGATCCGGTTACCGCCACGGTCACGGAAGGGGCAGGAACCGATGAAGCCTGGCTGTGGCTAAAGAACGGTGCAAGGACTTGGACATGAGTATGGTTCAATGCAAACATGACTGGTTGGATGATGGAAACATTTCTGTGTGGGTGGAATGTGACATAGCTGCTTGGGACTAATTGCTGCCAACATGTCACGTGTTTTCCTGACTCCATCAGTTGGAAAATGAAGGTTCACCATCTTCCACTCGTTCTTGTTTAGTGGGGAACCCAATAACCGAGAAAGGTTGCAGGCTATCCACTGACTGCGTAGGACCTGAAGATACCAAAACATCCATCCAATGGGTGTTTGGTCTGGAGATCTAGTCACACAAATTGAATGCCTGCGGCAGTAGGATCCCAGTCAACATTTAACACTACTGGTAGCGATGCACGGAGATGCGCGTCGCATGCGTCGTCTCAGCCACATATCTCTTCAACTGCCCATCATAGTACTCTGTGCCCTTGATGATGACCTCGGACGCTGCAAAAATGCTTGGGCAGGGCAGGGTGTGTTTTCCCCTATAATTCCGCTACTCGGTTTGGATTTTACATGATTTTCCCACTGAGTTCGCCAAGAAGGGGGAATCGGATTCTTCAAGTGGACCCATGTGCCACGTTGCGACTTTGGACATCGCGAACCAAAACATCAGTAACTCTGTGGTAACCAGGGGGTCCAAAGACTATATGATCTAGTGGGTGCCTTATATAGTTGAAAACTGGCTGCCTGCGAAAGGCTGGCCTGAGAAACCTTGGTTCCTGATGAAGGGGCTTTGGCCTAGCTCAAAGTGAGGCCAACCTGGCTTGAGAGATCACATCCTCTGTGTCATACATGATGCTCGGATGTAGGAAAGGTCCTAGGAAAACCACAGCCAGGACCTGACAGCAACTTGTATGTATGCCATATTGACCAAACTTCACTCATGCTGATTCCAAAAGCAAAAGGCCCAAAGGGAAAAAACAGCGGCCTTATGCCGCCCTAGACCACTGCAAACTTCCAGGGACCCCTTCCCCAGTCCATCCATCGAATCCTGCTCAAGTAGGTGCCACCAATGTACCAGGTGAGCCGGGAAGTTGACACCCCAGGCCAACGTGGACGTGGAAATCAACACCTCAGTGGATCGGCTACACTGGGAGAATGGTGGGAACAAAGACTCATGGTATGTCGAAGATTGTCAAAGGGTTCATGAACCTCCTGGCAGGCCATAGTAAGGAAAAAACACTTGGGTTGGCAATTGGGTTAAAACTTGGATTTTGTTGTGGTTGCAAACATTGGGTTGGTTTCCCCTCCGCCATTTCGTGTCGAATTGTCTTCAAACAGGGGGGCTCACCAATGACCTGCTTGATTTCGGGCATCCAAAAGAGATTCATCAGATGTATACATTCATTTGTTGAGCCCCTTTTGAGGCACAGTTGATTAGGCACAACCCAAATGTTGCACTGGATAGGCTCAACATGACGGGTTGGGATTGATGCAATCTCCAGCAATATCCAGCTATCACCCGATAGTGGCGCAACACGCTGCTCACCTGGTGAATACGATGGGGCCTACACTCATGGGGTGAAAGTTGGCTTGTGACGTCACCGATGCAACGGACAGCTGACAGACTGGTCGTGACAGACTCCCAGACACTCCATGTATGCCATATATGCCTACATTGACCCCCAAAACCACCCCAATGTAGGCATATATGGCATACATGGAGTGTCTGGGACTGGCAGCTGCATGGCAGTCTACACGCACCAGCACATACCGGGGAGGGGTCGTGACGTTGAGGGCTGCCCAGTCCACGGTAGGTGCCTGGTGTCCGGTGTCCGGGCGCCACCCGCCAGGCCCAGGCACCATAATCTTTGACTCGACAAAGAGTTCCTCCACCACCTCCACAGCAGGGTGGCTGGCACAGGCTGGCTTAGCTAACGCGTAGGTCGGTCCCCTGTAAAGACCAGATTGGAGACCCCAAAGTGAACTACATGTAGTTTGGGTCTGGACCCAAAAGCCTGCCCGGAAATGTCATGAGAACAACCAGCAGCCGATGGAAACACACATATGTTGCCCTGCTGAAGAAACCTCCAAGTCAGGCGTGCCAAACAGCAAAACAGGCGCTATAGAACGGCACGTGTTAAAATGCTGCCCCACGTTTGCACCAGCATATCAAACTGATCAGAAACCAAAATTGGTTCCCCTCTTCTCCTTCTTCGCTGCTGAACCCAGCCCCTCCCACACGCAATGCAACAAAATTGAAGAACGAATGCCCTGCCTTCCGATCCCTTTCGGGCAAACCGGCATGGTGGATCCCGATGCCAAATTCCAAGGTGTGCTTCAAACTTTGGTCCGTGACCTCAGCTGAAACCCACCTCACCTCTCCCACCTCGCCCACCGTCCGGGATACCGATCCACCCGACCCTCAGGTGCGGTACAACTGGATCACTCCAGGTGAGGTCTTGACATCCGGATCCATGGTGGCGCAGGTCGGACCGAGGTCGTATTAGTGGGGTGTGTTGAGGTCACCATTTCTGTGAGGTCTTTGACTGCCATGCTTTTTTGCTGGTGCATGTTGGTCGTCTGTGGATGACGGCGAGCCGGTTGGGACCTGAGATCTCCACATCAGCTCCAACCGGGAAGAGATTACAGATAGTATCATATAGTCCTCAGGTGTGGGGATGCTCCCATTTTTGCGGGGATCAACACACTTCGATGACCATGACCCTAAGCAAGACCAAGGATGAGAAGGTAGGGACTTTGACCCCATGACTTGTGACACCGCAAGGCACCAGTGGACCAGGCACCGAACGGAAACACAGCACGGAACCAGTCCAAAAGCGAACGAATAACGACGTCGCGCACGACTGTCCAAGTGCCCCGGACACGGCGGGTGGCGTACCTGTGGAACACGAGACCGTCTGCAGCACCGGCTGCATATCCAATGCATTTCTAGCACGATGTGCATGATCAGCTATAGCTTAGTTCTTTCAGGTTTCTTCATTGATGTAAAACGGAATACCAAGTGTGAAGGAAACCAAAGGCGCTTAACATGACTTTCCTTATCTCACCTGTCTCACCTCTTTGCATTCAAAAAAGCTCCGCAAAACCCCAAGGATTGGACTGAAGCCGGCCCGTTCGCATTCCAGAAGACCAATAGACCCTTGGAAAACACATGGGAAACTGCTTGTCTTGTCTATAATGCCTAATCTGTACTAATCCGATTCGAACCCCTGAAATCAACCCAGGAATCCTTCCGATCCCGATCCCACGCAGCACCTGTCTGGACACCAGCCGCGCTTCCGCGGTTTTTCTCGCGGTTCCGTGCAGGTCGTGTCTCTTCCGGAAACAGTTCTGTACGACCCATCCGAAGTGGCGCCGATACAACATGTGGAATAGGGTGGCAGGTGCAGGGTTTCCTGGCACTGCGGGGGCTCTTGGGTGGGGCTCTTCTTCCGCAGCCAGCCCTGTGCGGGCCTTCGGTGGCTGGATCAAACTTCTTCAACCGGTCATTGGCCTCTACTGAATCTGAAGAAGCTGGCCGCAAGTCTCCAAGGTCTGTCTCCCGCAGAAGAGTCAGCTCGACAGCGACAACTTTCAGCTTGGATTCTGCCTGAAACGGAGAGATTCGGCGATCCCTGGTGCATACAAAGGGTTGGGTGCAAGTGCTTGCAGCGATTCCGTTTGGGGTGAGACAAATCCACTTGTACTACTCCATGGCTGCTGCAGCTTCCTACCTTCTGTGGAAGAAGCTGATCTCTTGAAGCAAACTCTTGTCGACTCCAGTTCCCATCCCCAAACACTGGCCTCCTCCCAGCATCTCCATGTCGTCCAGATTTCTTGCGGATCGATCAATGGTGTCATCAAAGGCCAGCCCAAATCTCGTGTTTGCTCGGGCTGTTGGGCTCGTAGATCATCTTAAAGGCCTCCTGAGGAGCACTGCCGGAACATCACAAACATCCAACAACCGAAGTGTATGACCGGATCAGCGGTGCGGTCCAAACCGGAATCTCCACCACACCACACCAGCGGGCGCGAACTGTCCCGCCCCCCAACAGCCCAACACCACTTGTGGGGTACTGGAGGTAAAAGTGAAAAGGAAAGGGTAGGATATGTAACCTGTACAACCTTGATTGGAACAAAAGTGGAAGACCTCACACTTATAAAATGACAAATTCCTCCCTTAAGCATAAGCATCTAATTTACTGCGAATCATCCTATGTGAGACCGAACGCGTATTCAGCTAATGGATTGTTTGGTACGATCCAATTTTGTTACTTGCCTTGGGAAAACTTGTCTTTGTTCTATATGAACAAACCTGGCACCATAGGCACTGCAGGAGGTGCACACTGGCTGGATGCAACTGGTGATCGAGATGGGTGTAATTTTCACGAAGAGACAGTAACTTATCTTGACCATCAATTTGCGGACGCGCTCGAAGCCCCCCAACCAAGCTCCTATGGAATCCTATAAATGCATCAATGAGGATGCCCCAGTCTTAGAGTAACACGGAAACATCTTGCAGTTCATGGTATTTTCAATGAAGCGAACCACATTTTGCAGATGAATTGCTGGGTGATACCTCATCCGATAGGGGATTGGATATATATATATATATATATTGTTTTCTTGCGGAATAGTCGACACGACCCTCCACCCCAAAAAGCATACCAGCAACCTCAAACAGGTCATCGCAGAAAACAACATCATTTGTCCACAACAACATTCACCTGGACCCTCCAAAGTACACTCGAAAACATAGGCCATGACCTCATTAAAAGGTAACAATATAAACACGGTATATTTAATCAAGCAGTATAAGTATACTATCTTGTAATTGTACTCATTTTCCAAGGTACTTTCACAGGTCGACTTCAGGCACAGTATCAACGAACTCAGATCGATCTGTTTGACTGACTGTCGCAAATCTTTTGCATGGTGTCGGACTACGAAAGGCTCTGCTCCTTGTCATGAAAGGCTCCGATCCCTTTGGTGATTGGCATCCCTTCGCCAATGATCTCCTGGTGAGTCTGGGCGGAACCCGAACCTCAAGCCATCCGACTTCAGTCCGAAGTTGGGAACCGCGGACGACCGAACCGTGGACCCCTGCAGTTGCACCTGCCGAAACGATCCCAACTTAAAGACTGGAGAGGGTTTCCGGATGCAGTTTCCCAGGTTCCAGAACGGACGACCAGTCCCCACGTCCAAACGAAGACCACAGAAATAGAGAGAGGGAGAGGCCGTACAATGGTTCATATGGCGATTAGAATCGATTACAGGTGTCTTTATTTAAACACATAGGGAGACCCAGCCCCGTTCGAACCCAATTGGGAAAGGACAAATCGACCAGTCTACCCAGCCAGGGGCGATCCGCGGTCTAGGGGGTCTCCCTATTAAACTACACACCCACATTAAGGATGTAGTAACATTGGATGCACATAAGCTTCTGGATGCTTCTGGTATATATACCTGGCTCGCCATCTCAGTGGCATCCGTCGAGAGTCCTAACAAGGCTACAATATGCTACAATCGTCCACAACCATTTGCCTAATTAAGGTATTGTGGGTGTTCTGATAGTTTCTGGTATGAGTCATTAGTGGTTGACGAAATCATGGAACCCCCAAAAGCACTGAGCAAATGGTTTTGTTACTTAGTTTGCATGTCTTGGCCTTTTCCAGATCTTTTCGCCAGCCTAGGGCAGACGTATTTTCTCAAACCCCTCAGGTACACACGACCTGTCCGGCTGTGGTTCGCTCCTTGAAGCCCACGCGGCCCAGCAGGACACCGTGACCGGTGATGTAGGCCACCTCTTTCCGGGCCACCTGGGGATGGATTCAGATCGATTCCGTTCTTTTTGGAGCGCGAGACGGAACAGAAGGTGGAGGGGACTGATGTGGGACCCGGACAGTCACTATACCACGTGCGACCTCGTGAGTGCTCCAAGGTTTTGGGGGTGCTCCAAAGCCGAGCATCATCACACGACATCAGTATATATAATAATGATTTCTTTGAGGGGGACTGAAAACTCTGAAAAAGGAATCAGATTGAAACCGAAACAACTGCTTGGAGGGCCCGGAAATCTGCAGGGTGGAAGAGATCTGACGACGACCCGCTTGGGGAGATGCTTTCCCAGTGGATCCCAATGCCAATCACCACCTTTAGTGTTAATCTTTGGAACCACTTAATTAGCATGAGTTTCCAGCTATAGTGCTAACACTGAATTAGTGCTAACTATGGATCCCAACTCGCCAGTCATGGCTGTGGCTCATGGCACCAGGATCCGGTTAGTTGGTTCCAGTCCTTCGCGTGCGAGTTGGGACAGCCCTAAGAAGGGGGTGCCGCGAAGGTAAAGGTACCCCCATAAGACTCATACAGAGTACCCGTTCGGCCTCCAGTCATACCGAACCTGAGGTTTGGTGGGACTGGGGCGGGTGCCAGGAGGGTCCAGTCATACCTTCTGAGGAGGTACTTGGAGGCCTAGGGATATAATACTCATGCAGAGTTTAATGGTAACCATGTCTCCCTCTCCACTGAGTGAATCACGGAGGGACATTCTGCCATTCTCCAACACTTAGGGTGGTCTACATGTTCTCCAAGATATTCTTTGGTTTCTCCCTGAAGATCCACGTACCCTCTGAGAAGATCATGTGTTCGACACTTCATAGGCATGAAGGGTCCCAGTACCTTCTGAGAGGTATGGGTCCCTAGGGCAGTTTACGGGATCACCGTGTCTCCCCGCTCAGTACATGGTGCATAGCTGTGTCTGTGTGGTCTTCTTGCCATCTACCTCTCTCTCTGTCAATTGGGCCCCAAAAGTTTTAGATATATTATCTTTCTGGCTGTATACTGTACCACAAACAACATGGTCTTGGCGGATGAGGTCACTTGCTCTTGTTGAGAAGACTCAACCTCCCTCCAAGTTTCCCTACAACCACCTCAACCATCCGCTTGGCGGTGATGATTGATCAAGGACCACGTCCCAATGGTGGAGGCAAACATCATGGGCACGGGCACCATACATGAACATTCTCGCCACTTCCGCACTATCTGCATCCAGTGATCTCATTTCTCACGGTCCGCACCTTGAGCGTGATGTAGAGCTCCTGCACCGTGAACAGCGGGTCCACCGTGAGCGGCAGCTCACTCAAGGGCTCGTAGGGCACGTCCGGCCACCTGGATGCGGCTGGCGGATGCGGTGGAAGCACCTCCGGATGCGCGGATGCGGTGGTGAGAACGAATTGGACCAGTGATGTCCGACCTTGAGAAGAATGGAGTCAGTGCCAGATACCATTGACCTATTGGTTGTACGTTTGGGGGCCTCTATTAAGCAACTGACTAATAGTAAAAGGCCATCTATGGATTGGACACCCAATGACACCCATCATCTTTCGATGTCATAAACGCGACCCGTTCGGACCCTCTGTTCAGCTGGGGGCCAGACCCTGAATCCGGTTTTGAGGGACGAAGGTATGTTTGGAGCCTCAAGCCTATGTACGACTACTCGGTGGGATATAGGAGCCGGTAACTACATGCAGCTTCCGGGCTTTAAGGGTTGGGCTGGGCTGTTAACACAAACAATCATATCAAAAATGAAAAGAAAGTAAAAGGATACTGTACAAAATGAACACCAATGTCACCAAATAAAAACTTTCGGACCAATTCACCTCCGACAGCCCCATGTCAAACAGCCTCAACATCCGAGAAAGCTCACCCTCCAAATCCGGTCACGAAGGCCACATCACAGCTGCCCACTGCTCCACATCCCCCACTCCCCACCTCAGGCGCATGAGTTCCACCGACCGGGCGCTACCGGCGCCCCCAGCGCTCGGCTCCTGCACGAGGCGTCGCTGCGCCTCCTCCGCCGCGGCGCGGCTCAGCGCGCCCAGCAGCCGTGGGCGGCCATGAGAGTTGGGTACCTGGAGGTGAGGAGGGTGATCAGGGTCTGATAGAGAAAGTGACAGGGTTGGCTTTGTGGTAACGAGACTAAGAAAACGGAAGATGCCAGGAAAGATCATTTACCTGATGTATTAACTGCACAAGCGCCAGCGCCAGCGCCAGCTGGGTAGCTTGGTAGATTTGATTCAAGGGAGATCAGTGAAGCTATGGCAGGTTTCGTTCTGCTCGTCGGCATGGGAGGCAAGCGAAGTCCTTCGCTGTCCTTTTGCACTGCTGATGCCTCAACACGTCCTCAAAACTTCCAGCTAGGCTAAAGTTAAAGTCTTGGTGTTCTGCACACATCTCCTAGCAGCAGTATTGGAAACACATGCAAAAGCCACGCCATTTTCAGTGGACTGCTACAAAAATCCCAACAGGGCTTCTTTCTGGCAGTTGCATATCACTTAGGAAAATATCACAGAAACAACTCAAGCTCATTGCCATTAATAATATTAACTAGGATGTTGAACACACACGCACACAAACATGTCACAAACAACGCGAACCAACAGTCCACAGTCCATCCACGAGTTGCAGAAGCGCCGCGCCATCCATTCCACCATATTCCACCCATTTGAGGCGACGCCGAGTAAACTCCATGTAAACACCAAACCCAACATACCTGAACTCTCAACGCCCTTTGGAATATGTTTGAGCTATAGGGTCATGTCCCATTTTCTCAGGTACTTGAAGTCGGGTCCAGGTACCTGCAACTGAACATGCATCCAAACCCGGTCCAACCCGCCAAGCTCGACCCAAGATCCTGACCCCCTTCAGTCGTTTCCCTTTTCAAAGTCACACCGCAAAAAAAGGAAAACAACATGCGCCGTATTGTTGAGTGGAGAAACATGGAGAAGCCAAATAGCCAAATACCCAAACGGCGGTGATTTTGCCAGGTGATCCACTCATCTCCACTGCCCAAACCCCGGGCATTCGGAGGAAAGGATCCCCATCCCGTTCACCTCCTCGACGATGGGGAAGTGGAACTGCAGCGGTTGCGCGTCCAGCGCCCGTTGAAGATCTGACAGCCTCGATGCGTCGAACGGGGCGGTGAACGGACCCCAGTCCAGAGGCGCCTCTTTCAAAGGCAGGTTGAAGGTGGCTGAGAAGTTTCATATCAAAAACCATGCAGTGAAGTGTATTTAAAGTGTATTTGTGTCATAGCAAACATATATCTTCGGGTGGCGCCAAGGTAAAGGTTTGCAAGGTTTCCAAGGCAAGGGGTGTAACATGGTGTAACGGGAAGTCAAACACAAGGTCAGGTCCATGGACCACAGGGTACGGTTCTCAGAATAAAGACATACACCACTTATGACCACAGTATACCACAGTGATTAGCTGGACTTGGGAAACGGAGTTATAGTTATAGTCCTATATCTGGAAAACCTGCTGGAGCGTTAGCTGAACTTCACTGGACTAGACTTGAGACTGAAAGCGGATCCACCATTCGTCCAAAAAGGCAAGAGTCTCAAATCCTCTCTGAGAGAAGAACCAAGAACACATCACAACACTCAACTCTCAACTATCCGAGAGAAAACACAAAACAAATCAATACAATTCCAACAAACCGAGGTCCCGGTCTCCTGGCAGTGTTGGGCAGGATTGGAAAGTCGGATGCATGCTCCATGACCACAAAGGCTGGCTCCTGCGGCGCCGAGTCGTTGAAGGGACCGGTGGACCACACCGGACCGTGTGGGCACACCGGCGGTGGTAGTTGTATGGCGTAAGGGGAAGAACTACCTGGTACAAAGTATTCAAACCAAAGGAACACCTTGAGCCTCCAAAACCTCTTTGGAAGACAAGCAATCTTGGCTGAACATCGCTTTGTTCACAACCATGAATCAGATCCAATCAGATCGGCTTGCACAACCAGCCCATCTGGTCACTACCCTTGACGTGTTCGGAGGACCCGGATCCATCGCCGGGAAGCAACATCTTCACCAGGGATTCAATGGGATTCACCCAGGCACCGGAAAGATATTGGGAAATGACCAGGAAATACCAGGAATGGGAAGATGAATCCCTTCAATATGGCAAAAATGATGGGAACCTCATCACTGGAGTGCTCCGCAGCGCGGCGAAGACGCGCCCGAAGACGCGCCATGCTGGCCTGCCTCTCCGTGGGCGGTACAGGTGAGCTTGCTGACACCATGCCAACCCTTGCGGACCTTAGCCGTTCGAGTCTGCGCCCACAGCCGGACAGAGGTGGCATCTATGCGCGGGCCATCAGGGGTCAATGATAGGCCCTGTGGAGGTGGTTGGGGGGTTGGGAGGTCCAACTACCTTCTTAGGATTTGGGACCAGGACATGGAGCGTTTGGGTAGGCCCGGGTAGGCCAAAGATCCACATCCACCTTCGAAACGGTTCGGTATGACTGGACCCGACCCTGGCACCTATGTAAAAGTGTCGAAGACATCACCGGCAGTAGTGTACCTCGGAAATTGAGTACAAGTACCTGCTTTTCATGAGTTCATGTCGAAATCGGGCCCAGGTATGGAGTATGAAAATGCCATGGGAACTAAGACCTAGGACTGAAGTTAGCAGGTGAGCATAGGTGAGGGACCACCCGTTGAAACCAACCGTACTGTCGCAGCAACTGGGTGCCTCCTAGCACTTGGCACTTTTCACTTGACCAATCTATTGAATATGAATCTATCAATATCTATCACACAAAAATTGTATCCCTAGGCCTCCAGTCGTACCTTCTGAGAAGGTGTTTGGGGTGGGTGCCAGGAGGGTCTAGTCATACCTTCTGAGGAGGTACGACTGGAGGCCTAGGGTTTTGTTTACAAAGTGCCACGGGTTGCCTGGGACAGTCCAGTTCCACTCGTCCAGTTCATTAGCTATTCTCCGTGCGGCCAAGGCGGTATCGAAGAAAGGCAAAGAGATGTAGTCTGCCACGAAGACCTTCAGTGCGCCACGAAGACCTTTCAACAAATCATTTGAGTCAGATGACTCTTTCAATGAGGGCGTTTCTGCTTCACACACCCAAATACCCACCCACAGCACCAAGGTTGACCAGAACACACAGTTTTGCAACGTCCGTGGATGAGAAGGTCCTTTTTCGGCGGACCGCGCTGTGTGTTGATGTATATTAGTTGTAGATTTGAAGAATGGTTCTAGTTATTAATGTTAAAACGCAACATCTCCATGATGCTTCCCTCCCCCATCCATCCGCTCCATCATGCCGATCGCCCATTCGGATCGTCCTCCAAGCGGCGGCCGTCAAGCTGCTGAGGCTCAAGGGCACCACCATCTGGTTCAACGACAAGGCCTCCGAAACGCCATGGGTATGACAAAGACATCCGCACCAGGTCACCAAACAAAGACATCTCCATGGGTATGACAGTGGGTCAGACCATGTCAGACCGGTTTCATCGAGTTTGGTGGTTGAGTGGGGTGTTAAGACCCCATCCGCTCGGTCCGTGAGTGGAAATGTGACTGTCGGACACCCACTGTCGGACACCCCGTCCCCATCCCCGATATCCTGCATGAAGCACCCGGAGACCATGGAACTGCTGGTAGACCAGGTCATGGTACTGCCGGAGACGGACCTACGAAGGAAAGAATCCTTCGCTACACGGTGGTGCACTAGTCGGGTGGTGGGTGGGGTGGGCCATGGTGGGCCATCCCCATAGACCCTAGGCCTCCAGGTGGGACTGGGGTGGGTGCCCTGGTCGGGTCCAGTCATACCGAACCTGAGGAGGTACGACTGGAGGTATAGAGATAATACCCACCCAGTCCTCTTCTTGAAGACTCTGTCCCGCAGTCACTTGGTGTCTTTTTGGGTCACGCGTAGCACAGGCATCCTCATGTCTGGATACCTAGAAGGACCAATTTGCTTTGAAGGAGCCCTCACATTCTGAAGGAAGAAGTCGACGGGGCAAATGACGGCACCACTTGAAGCCCCCGCTTCTTCTTACTCCCCAGAAGGGGGATTTAACTTAAACATATATACCGTATACCTGGACCTTCCCAGTGACCTCTTCAGGATTGGTAAGTGACCTTTTCAAGGCCTAAGTGACCTCATTCTGGGATCTCAAAAGGTCACTGGGAAGGTCCTGGTAGGCAACATGAACAAAAAATAAGTTATCACTTGATCAGCAAAACCAGGTCATTCTTTCAGCACGAGCTTTCTCGTGTTTACTCTCTGGTGGGTGTAGGAGACTCTTCCACAAAAAATCACCTCATCAACTCATGTGGCCGACACCCTAGAGGAACCCGCCGAAAATGAACAGAATGGACGACCTGGTTTCGGTCCACCTACCTGGGGGTGAGTTTGGGGCTCAAGAAGTGCCATGACCCACAGCCATGTGAGCTTCTCATCGACTCATATCAGGCCTCATAGATGGTGATTGCCACGCCATAGGCACGCACCACGCCGCAGCCTCAGGCAAAAAGGTCAGGACGTCCCAATCGTGTCTTGTCCGAAGCATCGATTGACCCATTGAACAT